CCTTAGGAGATACATCAAAACAATGTTCAAGAAAATTGTAGGTCTTAAAATGACCTACATAAAAGTCTGCAATAGCATGTCTATTTTTACAACAACTAATTTTATCTATTTAAACAGATATATAAATTAATAACTTCATTTTTATGCTATCAAACGCACTTCATTATAATAAAAAAAATATACATTTAATATCGGGTACATTACATTATCTATATGGTAAAATTTATCTTACCAGGATGTTGTGAATGTTACCAGTGAAGTTAAACGTGTTATGGCAATGCAGTCATGGTGTCTGATAAAAGATTAACATAGTAAACCAATAATTAAAAGCTTCGATGTAAAATTACAGGTGATTATAGTATATTTAATAAATTTTATGTTATACGATCGAGAAATGTCTTGTTCTGTGATCTGGTGATGTATTAGCATAAACGGCCTTTATGAGATGCCGACGGGCCTGGCGCCGTGTCGCGCCGGTCACATTAGATTGAACACGGGAAATTACATACTTCGTCTAGATACTTGTAAATAAATAAGTATTTGCCACATAATTGTTCTTGTTTACCTATAATAGTATAGTAGTTTATTCAGTTTTTAGTATTACGTAAGTCAACTTTAATTAATCAGGAGACACAGTATGTATATATATTTCTTTATACTATGCTGTTTTTACAAAATGAAAATACTATATTGTAACGTAGTGTTTCTATTATTTAATATGCACATTAACACACAACACCATCTAGTTCCATGGTAAGCTATGAGGCCTGTGTTATGGATACCAGATAGTTGATACACTACACATATATAACTTTAAATACACACATATTATAAATATAAACACCCATGACTGGAGTACAAACATTCGCGCATAGCGGGAATCGAACCCGCGACCGCTGGCATAGCAAGTAGGGTCACTACAAACTGAGCCAAACGTGTCGTCAAATATTAAATTATAATAAAACAATAAGTGCCAGTAATTCAGGTATCAAACTTTTTGGTTATGTAAGAAAAATTAAAATACCTACTTAGGATTTGTAAGTATTTTTGTTGGATACCACAAAAAAACTACTTAAGTTTAATATATATGTATCTATACTAAGTGACAATTTATTTGTTATAGAATATTATTTATTACTTATTACATCTACTTTATAAATATTTTTGAACGATTTTTTTACTTTATTTAATTTTACGTAACTCTAACATACATAATAATGAGCTCTATCTTAAAGTTATGTAATTTCAGCCCGTAACATTGTAAGCTCTACTCTTGTTAGGGATTGACGATATTTTTTTGAATTGAAGTTTTTGGATATTGCAATTAAATTTTTACTATTAATTAGGTACTATTTTTTAATGAGATAATAAAAGTTTCTTAAATTGGTTATACGTTCAGTCATCATATTTTGTAATACAGTTATTACCAAGATGTAAATCGAAATTGTCCTAGACAGTTTGTAATTAAGGTCAATGTCAAAATATTAGTCTCAGTAACATTTTCAATTCAAAAGTGCTTGTTAAAGTCTCTTTGAATAAAGTATCCATATTTATAATTTTTATATGCATTATATATATATATTATACATATGTATATGTAAATGCGAAAAAATATAGAGAAGATATTTTTTTGAAAAAATTGTGTTCTTGCCTCTTTAGAACTTTTATCTGCGTGCTTTTATAGCGGGGGTCATGTATAATGTTCACAGATTTCATACATAGTTCTTTTTCTTAGTCGTTCACTCTTGATAGAGTGGTAGTGGTCATGTCCATAGAGTATATTGCTACATATATAAGTCTCGGTCGAGTCTTGCGCCACCGCTTCTCTCGTGTCGTCTCATACATAGTACTTATGTAGTTATTATTTTGTTACATATTTGATATACATTAAATATCCTTGACCTTCGTGTAGTCCTTCCTAGTAATATTTAATGTATTTAATATCACACAAGTACTAAGTATTTAAGTTTACTTACTAAAACTTTTATTATAATTTATGATTAAAAATTTCCCTATCTTTTAAAAAATATTTTATTTAGTAGTAGTAGCTTAGTCTTATTTCCTGCACACGAAGGTTGCCTGGAAGAGATCGCTCTTTTAACGATAAGGCCGCCTCTTGTACATTTTCCAATCTTTCTATATTTTATTTTCTCTCTTCTTTACTGGGTGTACAATGAAGAATATTATTATTATTAGTACTTTATATGTATTCGTCGTCGAAGGTGTGCGTAAAATAACAAGAAAACAACAACAATAAATAAAATGATTTATCACAACTGGCCATACTGTTCTATATTGCAAATTGCAATGCAATGATTGCCTCATCCTCCGTTCGGTCTCATAGAAATGGTTCTCAAGTTATAATAAATCGTCACAAAATTGAGTAGGCTAAGTAGCATGCCAAACGGCTATGTCCTATTTGGCGAATGCTCAACTTTAGAATGTATCTTAAAACAATAATGTTTATACTGACTGTATAGTGCTTGTATTCTTATAAAATAAAAGATATTTCATGAAAGTAGGGAAAAATTATAGAAGAACCATTTTATAAAGACAATACCATGACATGGGTATTGTTGAGAAGTTCTGATAATAAATGTGAGAAGGAAAGAATGTTAGCATTGCACAAAATATTTTAATTTATACAGCAAATGATACGTTGTAGCCAATATTTACGACTTAAGTTAGATATAAAAGTTGTATGATATCCGTAAACAGAAAAAATAATTAAATAGCGGCTTTTAAACTAAAAAAATGTAAGTGTCATACAGCTAGGACGTAAAACCGGAAATTGTAAATATTAAGTAGATAAATTGATTTGTTTGGTAATTAATTTTTAGCCAACTCCCAATAAGGAGGAGGTTCTATGTTTGTCTGTATGTATGTCTTTTATGTATGTATGTTCGTCGATTTCTCGGAGACGGTTATTTTAAGCGGTGATTGCTACTTTAAACGGTATTGTATTAAGGTCCCGAGGTGATCCCATTAAATTTTCTTTGCCATAAAGTATACTGTTTTAGAGAAAATCTGGAAAACCCATGAAATTTCGAATATGTTAACTGATTAATTAGACTTTTTTATCTACTTCTAATTGTCATATCGACTTGAAACTTCACAAGTGTTTGTAATTCCGATGACAGTATAGTAATCTGGTATCTTGGAGCTGATCTGATGGTGAGACTGTAGAAGGTGGATACTTAGTAAAACTCTTCAACGGTTACTAGTAACTACTTTGAGTTTGAGCTTATTTGGTTTCATTTGACAAGCCCAATACGTTAAAATTGGATTTTAAAGTCAGATTTTTAGTGTTGCTAATAAAAGTGAGTTTTTAGTATGTTAGGCTGTGTATAAAATATGGCAGTATACTAACATAAATGGCTTAATTGAATATGTTATTGAATAACTTTCTTTTTACAAATTACCTGCTTATTACATCTACGCTAAAAATAGAAAAATAATAACTTAAAAAAAAAACAACTTCTAGGCGCTAAAAAATAAAAAATAACTAAGCGCAGGTTTTCATTTAGTATAGATACGTAATCAGATATTTTGGAAGTCGGTGGTGTTTTTCAAAATTATAATAAATACTGAGTAAGTATATGTTGACTTCTGATTTGACTCTCTTTATACGTATTATAAGCCCTGAATGGGACTTGCAAAACAAATAAAGCAATATTTCATAATTTTTACATATATATAAGCGTTAAAGAAACAAGATGTTTGTTATTCTATTTGATTAATGGCTTGTGCCATTACTCATAACTTTACAAAGTTCCTTGAATTTCGTTATTATATGTAAAAAAAAATACATATGTATACAATAAGTATACTGAGATGAAGGTGTATGACCAGGTTCACGTTTTGATGTAACGCGTATATCATTCAACCATAAAAATATAATATAAGATCCAGTATTAGGTACTACAAGCTTTACGTAAGTAATATCGCAGTTACGCAAGTTTAAGGCCTATATCTATATATTAAGTTAGTACACGGTGGTACACAATAGTAGATTTTTATGCCTAAGTTCAACTACGTAGGAGGTAGGTATAGGTATTTCTAGAAAATTTATTCTTTTATGGCTTTTAAAACTTAGTTTTGTCAACCAAATTTTAATTTATTATTTAGCTACTTGTTGTTCCCGAAATTAAAATATGCTGCGTATGACTCTTATAGGCCTACTAAGTAGATCTAAAAAAATAAATTGAAATATAAAGAATCGCGACAATTATTTGCTACTACCTGGGAGTAAACGTGTGAAGCTGCATTTCATGAAAGTAGTAGTAAATATATTTTTGAAATAAAAAATGCGAAATTATCTCCTTCATGCAAGGTATGTACATGTCATGTGTTAAGTATATTTTACGACACGTTTGGCTCAGTTTGTAGTGACCCTACTTGCTGTGCCAAAGGTCACGGGTTCGAATCCCGCTGGGGGCATTCATTTGTGTGATGAGCACGAATGTTTGTACTACAGTCATGGGTGTTTATATGTATTTAAAGTTAACTCTCTGGTATCCGTAACACAAGCCTCGTAGCTCACCATGAAACTAGATGGTGCTGTGTGTTGTTAATGTTCCAATATATTTATTTATTTATATAGGAATAACTTTATGTTATGAACTATTTATGTTTGAAAATGGAAAATGAAAAACTTGATACTTGCTGATATTATTCAAATGTCTTTGGAACAGGTCTAGTCTCTTGGGAGGAATTATAATTAAAAATATAATTATATCCAATTAAAGTTTTTAATTGATATTTAACTATAAATATTTATGTAATTAATTAAGTAAACAAACAAGAAAAATACTTAATTTCAATAAACACTTTAAAAGTTTTTAGTAAAATGAAATTTTATTTATTTATTTGTTTGCTTTTCTAGGGAAACATACAGTACAATAAATAATCACATTATAAAACATAAAAGTAATTCTAAAACCAATAAAGTTTCCACAGATATCAATTTTTGTTGCATTTATCAGTCCACGACCTCCACAATGCATATTCTCGAGAGCGATCCTAATAAAGTAGTCTAACATTATCGCGAATGAATTTATTTACGAGTGTCAAAAGTGTATTCGATAATGGGACCTAAGAGATATCGGATAGTTGTGTGGTCTCGACACTCGGGTGGAGAACGTGTGGCTATAGCGAGTAGCTAGTGGCGAGTGACGGTGTCGGAGTGCAGGCTGGCTTGAGAAGTGAGATAGTGGTGCTTGGAACAGGTCCGACGTGCGCGCGGGGCAGAGTCGTGCGGCGGCCGGCAGCGGAGACCCATCGGCCACGGCTCACCACTCAGTGCACGCGCTGCCTTGCCGCCGCCAGCCTGCGTGGTCTCACCACGACACGATACGCCGATATCGTATACCAGCGATACTTATCGAACTCCCATTTTTAACTTAAAATTATTGTACACAAAAATAAATCTGTCTTGTACGTGCGGTACGAATATATACGATTGTTTGTATACACCTATGGGCCATTTTTCGCTCAGCTCAACGCGCTTTTCCAAGTGTACTGAAAGTGAAGTGTGTATTTGAATGTCATAACTGAAGGGACACTCCGAAGTGGTCTGTGAGGTAATTGTAAAATTTTTAATTTATTATTTGAATAATTTTTATTATCATTTAAAATATTTTGCACATGTCCATTTTTTTACATGTGTCTGAATGTCAGTATATTTATTAGAAAGTTGCGAGTGAGCAACCAACAAGCTGACTTCTCGTACACGTTGGTATTTATGAGTACCTACTACTACTTATTTAACTTGATGTAACTTCATAACGATGGAGTAAGTAAATAACATACGATTACACAAATTGTGCGCGCTCAAAAGGTAAAATCACTCTTTTATACATAACAGTTTATCGAAAATTCAAGGAAGCGTTCGCCGAATATTTACTAATTGATTCGGCATATTTTATCCTAATATGCGTAAATAGTGTATATATTATTCATAACTACGTTATCTCGGTCCGTGGTGCGAATATTACTCTCGTTATTGCCAATAAACCTGTCAGTTATTATATAATTTCAACATTATTTTATTATTTTATAAAGGTAATTATAATCTTTATTTTAAAAATGTTTTATATGTATTACTAGCGAATTCGTCCTTAAGTACATACGAATAATTCCGTAACACATTGTTTTTATATAAGTATTGGCTTACACTAGTTCCCAGACGACATGATTTCTTCCAATATCTTCAACAATCATCGGCCTATTTCAGCCAATTTACGAAAAACCTAAATGAATTATATACCATCACCTTTCTACTGAATCACTCCGTCTATTGATAAAAAGTGAAAACTGTATGAAAATCCATTTTAGAGCTTATGAAGTTCAGACAGACAGATGCGGCGGGGGGACTTTGTTTTATAATATGTAAGTAGTGAAGGTATATATTGATGTATTCTTCAATAAAAATAGTTATTATAAAATATAAACGTTTTTTTATGATATATGCATCAATATAAGTTAATAATAATAATCAAAATAATACTTAAGGCTAGTGCGACATTGAACTATATACTATTGATATAAGTAGGAAAATTTGGTAGAATAATGAATGTTTAGCACAAGTTTAAATTTATGTTTATGATTAAACAAAATATCCATATTCTTAATTTTGAATAGCATCAGTTTTAGTTGAAAAAAGCACCAAGCTTTAAGAAAAGGTTTGTAAGGGTGTTAAAAGTATAATTATGGTATATCCAATTAGTAAAATTTCATTTAAAAAATATAATTAACTATATATTATGACAAATATTTTAACATATACTTAGGTACTTACATATATGCAAATATAAAAAAAAAGTTAAATTCAACATACTCGTAGTTGGGTATATTGATTCCTGAACAAAGAATAGTGCAATCTCTTATTGTAGATATACTTGAATCAAATAGCATTCATCGAGTGTCAATGAACATTAACAATTGATATATTGCAGGCTGAATAGGTAAGTAAATTACTAACAGTGATTCATCACCTGATCTTAGTAAACACTCGTAGCAAACACGGACTTTATCAATCATTGACTGAAGTCACGTTATCTCATGTTTTGATTGTCAAAAAAAAAATAATGTTCAGTCAATAATACTTTCTTAGATTTACGCGAATAATTTACATTTAAATAGAATTATCTTTTCATAATAATATTAATGTATTTAATAATAATACTTGTTAAAAAATTAAAATGTTTAGAATTAAAATAAACAAATATTGTAAGGTATTCTGGTGCCATTTTTGAATTTTTTACTCATTTTTGTAACATTGTGTATAGGTACTGTCTGTAATAAATATATAACGCCTTTGAGATGTCTAAAACCTTAGTCTCTCCCGTGACCATGATCGCTGTAAAGCATTCTAAAAGTCGGGAACCAAAAATCAAAATAAATCCGCGATTTTCCTTATGCAAATCTGATGCATTCAAAGAAATATTTTAGGTAATTGAACATAAACAAACATTATTTCATTTTTAGTAAAATTGACATTCAGCACAAACAATTCAACAAAAACAAATCTATCGCTTTGGAACCGTATATTTTTCCGGGACAAAAAGTAGCCTATGTGTTATTCCAGACTATAATCTATCTCTGTGCCACAATTCACCTAGGTCCGTTCCGCCATTCTGGCGTGAAAGAGTAACAAACATACATCGATACATACATTCTTACAAACTTTTTAGCGTTTATAATTTAGTAGGATATGACTAATTGAAATGAATAGATAACTTTATCACGGGGAAAATTATATACTTGTTTTTAACTTTTTTTCCTAGAAATGAATTCTTAAATTTGAATCATTCGATTTTACGACTTGTCCTTATCGCAGCTTTAAATACTGAATATAAATATTATTATAAATTTTCAAAACGAAAATTACGTGTCATATGAGGTTCCAGATTATTCCATATAATAAAAGTCTAACTGATCGCGAGTCTGTACATGGAAGATATTTGAGAAAAACTATCATTGGGGGTCTTTATTTATGCAATAGAACCCAAAACAATGATTTTTAGAATTTTTGTCTGTTTGCCGGTTTGTCTGTTTGTCTGTGCGTTTGTGCGCGCGAATCTCAGAAACTATTTGGATGCGGTTTTCACAAATATTTTGCGATAAGCTTCACTTAACATTTCGTATTTGTTTTATTTCAATCGGTTCATAAATAAAAAAGTTGCGTTAATTAATGAACCACCTAGGGATGAACCCGAGCGGAGCGAGGGTGAGTCGCTAGTATAAAAAAATGTAATTGTTAATTATATTGTTATTGCATAGTGCATATCTCTAATCTCTATGTAATATGAAATTTTCTACTTAACTAAATAACAAAAAAAGTCTCAGTACTTTAGGGAACATATACTTATGTGTATAGTTTGGTAGGGTTGTATTTATCCTGATAATAAATGTAACATCAAAAAAGCCGTCATAATATGAAATAGTAGGGTGCTCCGCATCTTGAATACAGCTCGTTACTTCACAGTTGATAATATTATAATATAATACGAGTATAAGAGGAAAAAAAACTAGGCTGATTAGAAGCGAATTCAAAAAAATATAATTATGAGGTACGGAAAATATTTTACTTGTTACTTTCGACCGGCTTTTTCCTATTGTCATTTAAATTATAGCACTCTATGATACGTATAGAGCGTAGATGGTGGTGACCGGTGAATATCAATTTAGTTTTTAAGTATGTAATATGTAATTAGTAATTACACAATAACTTACAAAAGGTATTTTTTCAATTTTTATGTACAAAATATATTATGTCAAAAAATATAAAATTAAATAAGGAACAGATGCACATACATAGATAATTTTTCTATACATATGAATTCTAGAGTTAAGATTACAGATTATAACTCTAAACTGAACTTAAAGTTGTTATATTGAAAATGTTATTCAATTAACTTATTCTTTACTTTAAATGCAATCATTTAAATTCTAATAGAAATTATTCTAATTACAAAATTATGTAATCAAACTGTTTTTGATTGATATTATATAATATTAGCAGAACCCGCGGCTTCGCTCGCGCTAACACTACAGAAAAACTAAAAAAGTAGGTTTCATACAAACATTCATCCCCTATTTTACCCCATTATGGCATGAATATCGAAAAATACTAAAACACGTATTTATTTAATTGTATTGAAGAGTATTAATACCAAGTTTCACGTAATTATGATCATAAATGTTTTTTGAGTATTATTATAACGTGTTTTCCCGTAGAAATAATTTTAGATAAAATCCCTATAAAAGTACCCTATGTCAATATCCAGCCCTCCAACTATCTCCACACAAAAAATCATGTCAATCCGTCACTCCGTTTCGACGTGAAAGAAAGACAAACAAACAAACACACTTTCTCATTTATAATATTAGTATGGATTATGTGTAAGAAGTTTACAAATATAAACACATTAGAACGAAATACGTATAAGCACAATATATCTATTCTGACACTTAATATTCATCGTTTTCAGCGAAAGATTATGAGTCAGACCAGTTATTCAGACAGAGCCCTTACTCATATAAAATATTTGTAATACACCTATCGCATCTCTACGTCCGGCATTATTTTTAGAATTATTTTAAGATCCTTCTCTTTAGGTAGCAAAAGTTGCTGGAAATTATACTTATATTCCACGTATTTCTATAATATATTTTCGATGCCTTCGAAAATATTTTATAATTATTTAATGATTACGTAAAATGAATAACTTAATTAAGATACTTACACTGATATGATTCTAAACTAGAATTTAATGTCTATTGTATACATATTTAACATCATACATATGGTGTACCTAATATTTAATGTCATTTCATACGAAATAACAAGTAGACATTCAAATTATTTAGATTTTACACAGATTTTACCACACTACTTTCTTTATTATTTTAGCACTCCTTATATTCGAGAATATTAATTTTGTGCATTTTTTTGTTTATTAAAGTTTCTGAGTAATTTCAGATACTTTACAACCATTGTTTTATTACTTAAATATTAGAGCAATTTAAGATATCATTATTGCTTAACTTACTACCTTTTATATTTGCGAAAGTTTATGTGTTATTTTTATAAATATTGCTTATCCACTAGCTCTTGACATTATGCACTAATTCATTTTGGCCAAGGTTTAAATTTAGTAAAATGATACCGAAGCAACCGATATAAAAATATAAGTAACTAGCATTGCCCGCGGCTCCGCCCGCGTTCAGATGACCAAAAACCGAATTCTGAGGTTTTACATATTATTATACTCTTACATTACAGTTTTTGTATTTTTTGCTCAGAAATGAGATATTTTTCCGCTGTAAAAAGTATCCTTTATGTTGACCCGGATAAGCAGCTATCACCCATCTAAATCCCTCCAGTGGTTTTTCTGTGATGCGGTAACAGATAGACAGACAGACAAAAATTCTAAGAACTATAGATTCAGCCTCTGTATCGATAATAATGTCTATTTCAATAAGATTTTCCAAAAACTATTTAATGTACAGATTCGGCTTAGTTACAATTTTATTATATGTATAGATTATTTTGTCATAAATCTTAGCCATCCCATAA